AATTTTGAGAAAAAAAATTCAGAATTGTAAGAGAAAAAATTGCAGTTTCCTTTTTTTTTTTTTTTAATTCAGTGGTGGAAATGGGCTTCCACAATGTGTATTTGAGTTTTGCAATTAGTCACTTGTATTACAACTCTGAGATTCGTTGGTTCATTTTCACCTTCCAGAAAAGAAAGAAAACGTGGTCTTCGCTCTGACGCTGCACGGTGGACACCTGGGTTTCTTCGAGGGCGCTGTGCTGTTCCCTCAGCCCCTCACCTGGATGGACAAGGTCATTGTGGGCTACGCCAATGCCATCTGCCAGTGGGAGAAACAGAAACCACCGTGCCTAAGTCAAGGCGCCCATTCCAGCGAAACCAAATGCCAAGACGGTAAAGCCTAACCGAGCCGATCTCCGTTTCACCTCCACGTGACATTTTCACCACGCACACGAGGGGTCGGACCACCATCTTCAAGCGTTCACTGTCAGTGGGAATATTTGTTTCTCTTTTTATCACGGTTTATCAACATGAATGGTAATGACTTTCCATGGGAGAAAACAATGCCACTCGATGACCAAAAAAACAATCTGTGTAGCGAGGGCAACGTTTTAGATTTACTGCAGTTTGTAGTTATTTAGATACAATCAGTATCTCTTGCTCTCTAATTAGGACACTGAAAACTGAAAGTTTATCACTGCTAAACAGGATCTAGCAGAGCTGGGTGAATCTCACAAAAATCCAAGTCAAAAACTATTTTTGGATAATATTAAAAGATATTTTGCATAAATAAAATGAAGCATACTTTTGAGACAATTAAAATACTCCGCATTTTAATTCAAATGTAAGCACATTTCTCCCCATTTTTGTTTTTGTTTTTGTTTTAGGCAATTTTTTTTTGGTTAAGTTCAGTTATTTTGTGGGGTTATTTTCCTTTATTTTTGTGGTGATCCTCATGCTTTTACTGTGTTGCACTAACAAAATGCTGTAATACAAATAAATCAACATTAATGAAAGGCAGTGCAACAAATAATACCTTTATTACAATTAAACAATAATAAATAATTTTCACATTAGTATTTTAGGATAATGAGAATTGCATGATTGTCTCAATGCACAAATGTAATGGTCCTCAAAATAAGCTTAATTTCTTCTTTCTTTCATTGGTTTTTGGATTGAAATATGATGTTCTTGACCGGTTTTGTGAGATTCCCCCAGCTGGCTTATTAAAACGACACACGAACCTTACTGTACACAACACATGAGTTTATGGGAAGTGAGTGTAATGCAGGCACTATGTGCTTATTGATACGACCGGCGCGCTGTTTGAGTGAATATTGTCATTTGATATTTGAGTTTTTGGTCTGGTAACCGTTTAAGCACAGGCTAGCATTCATGTCACTCTAACTAGACCTTGTCAAGTATACCATAGTGTGAAACTTCATTAATCATGAAGCCTTGTCGGTTGAATCCAAGTCACATTCCTAGTCGATGCATTTTTGTTTAGCACTTTTATATGACGTTTGCCATACAATCTGGGACTAGCCGACAATGTTAAATCTAGAAATGAGAAAGGGCAACAAGAGGGAGAGAGGAAGCCTGGAATGAACTCTCGTGATTAGCAAAACGCCTCCGTCGCGGGCCGTCCCACAAGCACTACGACCCAGTTTTAGATGGCAAATCCCATTCCGCTGAAGAGCAGCACACGCTGTTGCTGCAGTATTGACTGGTGTTTGTGGAGAACCATTGAAGTCGGTAGATCTAGATTGTGTAACATGTTGATTTGGGACCCAGTGGGAGACACCAGTGCACTTCATGGTGCGCGTCTGTGAAAACTGGTTACTTAAAGGGATTTGTGCTGTAGTATCGTTTTAGGTTTTTTTCTTTGTTGTTCATTTTTGTGCAATTACTTGATGCATTTGTTTCTTTACTCTCGGAATCAAGACTTGTCTGAAATGGAACTGATCTTGTTACGCATTAAAAGAATCTAATGCAGAGGGGAAAATATATCAGTTTAAATTTGAAGGGAACATTCAAAGTGTTGTTTCCAAAGGCTCGTGCGGAAACTTTAACGCAGCAGTTTAGTGCAGTTAGACTTGCTTTGTTTCAGGGAAGCTGTCATACATATAAATCTCACAAAATGGCTAGGTAATATTTCACCACACAATAGAAAAAGTAAAAAAAAAAAAGCATTTTGTTTTAAGAAAATTATTCATATTTTGAGGACTTTTTTTTTAAAAATAATTGACATTATTTTCATGATAATTAGGCACATTTTTCTTCCCACTTTACTCTGTATTTCTCAATAAATCTCCAAAAATGTGTAATTATTGTAACATTAATTTTCTTACAGTAAATACGATATATATCTACTATATGTATATACAGATAATCTTCATTATAACACTTTTTTTGGGGGGGGGGGGGGGAATATTACTCTGCCATTCCTGGACATGTTTTGTGAGATTCCGTAATCTTTATTAATTTATTATCATGCTGCAGCTGTGGAAGAAAATGTATTATTTGCGTTTCCAAGGGGGGAAAAAAACTGAAAAAGCCACTCGATGACCAAAAAAACAATCAAATAACCTATGTAACATTTAGTATACATGACAGTTGAGTAAAGATTGTCACTGGTTGCCGAAAACTCGGTCATGTGTTGAGAACTATGTGCATTTATAACATACATAATTGCCTTCATTATTAGTGTTTAGCCGTCAATATTGATGCATCTTCTTAAAGGAGAAAGTGTCACTTTCAGTGTTACACGTGTCAAAAGACTTTTTACCAGTTATCAGTTGAAAGACGCCCCCTGTGGGTTATGAGGTGTAGGTAAATGTTAACTTTCACACTCAACTGGAACGGTTTATAAAATCCCATCCAGATATTTAGTATTTGTTGCTTGCTAGGAAGAGAGTTTACCTCCCCTCTGTTAGGTTTTGTTCTGTAAGTCTCTGTATTCTTCTTGTCTTATTTCTTGAATCTTTGGAAAACAGCAAAATGGTGTTGTAAACGTGAGTCTAAAAGCTCCCGGTTGGGAGTCATTGTTCGGCTGTTTCCGGCGATCAGATCTATTTGGCCTTTTGCACCAGCACTAATTCAATCTTTGCTGAAAGGCGATCCAGTTTGCCTTTCAGAATGTCTCCCACTTACTTTTTGCACAGAAAACACGGGCTTATGTTGTACATCCTCTACAAACATTAACCAAAATGTTGTTTGTTTTTGTATTTTACATTAATTTCAATGTTATTTTTGTTCTCTTATGTACAAAAGTATGATTATAAATGAGTGTTTGTGAATGTTTGCATCATATCTGCTTATGAAAACTACCAACAAACTTGCTTTGTCAGGTAAAAAGCTAAATGTGTTTAGTTGTTATATAATGATGGTTTATGGAAACCAGGGAACTTTCATTTGTTTGACGATCAGCAATAACGCTTTGAATTTTTTTTTCTCTTTTTCTCCACGCCAAACTGAGACGAATAGCTCAAAGAAAATATTGTGTCAAATGGAGTTTCGAGAATATGTATTCATGCTGCAGTCACAAATAGGAATTTTAAAAGGAAAGTGAAAGGCCATATGTATTAAAAAAAAAAAAAAAATGTCTATTTGCGGAATATAGAGTAGAATAATCCCAAAGCTTTGAGACTGACACTGCCCAATGTCACTGTAATCTCACTTTAGGGATTATTCACTGAAGATCATCAAATCTGTTCCTACTGTTCTGACCCACGTTCTCATCACGGTTTATTGTGTTTTTGAATGTCATTTTTCATGACCTCAAAACCCCATGCAGCATAATATCTCAATCACTGGTGTGTTTTTGATTTGGAAAACCAATGGTGTGCGATTGAATAATTTATTATTACAAGAATGCTTATTGTGTTCCAGAAATAAATTATTTTCTTGTTTAAAAAACAAATTGCTGTTACGTGATTTTTCTCCAGTAGAGATATCTTTAATTAGGGATATTTTTTTTTTTTCTTTTTCTTTTTCTTTTTTTCTTTTTTTTCTTTTAAATATGTCGGTATTAACTCTTTCAGTCAAACAACATATTACAAGTTAATGTGTGTATATATAAAATATAAAATCTGTCATTTACAGGCTAAATTATATGTACAACACCATTCAAACTTAAAGGGGTCATAGGATGCCCATTTCCTACAAGCTGATATGATTCTTTAGGGTCTTAATGAAAAGTCTGTAACATAGTTTGGTTAAAATTTCTCAATGGTAGTGTAAAAAAACACCTTTTTTTTACCCTGTTAAAAACAGCTCTTTTCAGATCAAGCCGTTTTTGTAGCATTTTCCTTTAAATGTTAATGAGCTCTGCTGACCCTGCCCCTCTCTTCCGAGCTGCTCTCAGAGAGACTGTTTACTTTAGCCGCATTCATCGTGAAACTTGCTAATTAGCACATTAGTAAAAGTGCATGTAGCATCCTATGACCCCTTTAAATTAAAAAGTCTTCTGCACACCAAGGCTGCATTTATTTGATCAAAAATAGTCAAAACAGTAATGGAATATTACAATTTTCTATTTTAATATATCTTAAAGTAATTTATTTCTTTGATGGCAAAGCTGAATTTTCAGCATCATTACTCCAGTCTTCAGTGTCACATGATCCTTCAGAAATTAATCTAATATGCTGATTTGCTGCTCAAGAAACAATTCTTATTAATTCTGAAAACAGTTTTGCAGCTTAATATTTTAGAATTTTTCAGAATTTCCTTATTAACAAAGTTCAAAAGAACAGCATTTATTTGAATAATTTTTTTTTATTCTACATGTCTTACTGTCATTTTTTTTCAATATAATTGCTTCCAACTGCATCCTTGCTGAATAAGTATACTAATTTATTTAAAAAAATCGTACTGATACCAAACACTTGAACAGTGGTGCGTATTGTCTGTATTACTAGTACGTTTACGCTTTTAGTACATGTTTTCACATGACATCAGATGTACAAAACTCAACATTTTGCCCACTTTATTGAAAATGTCAATTAGACTTGACACTAAAGCTCTGGGTCTAGAAGAACCAACATGAGTTAACAACAATAACCACAACATTATATCTACAAGCCATTCGGTCTAAAACAACAAAGTAACAACCGTATTATTTCTTGGTCAAGGCTTGTAATCAAGTTTATGCATTTAATTCTAATTATTACACTTATTTTCTACACACAACTAGTACAAAACTTTCTTTTGAAATTTCAGGCCGAACGTTTTCAAGGCAAAGAATAAAAGACACTTCAAGTTTCTCTGTTTAAAACAAATGTCAGATAAGTCTAGACATTTCATGTATTGGCCAGTGAGATGTGTAATAATGTACAGTATCATCCCAACAGGACCTGTTACCTTCTACTTTTATTGAAATACAGTGGTTAAAAGTAGGCTACTCTAATAATTTCCTTCATAGTTTCTATAAAACATCTTAACCATATTTTAAACAAACAAACGGTCACAGTGTTATGCTGTTGGCTTGGGTCTTTTAAAGGGCTGTATCTTCAGATCCAAAGAGCTTGATCGCCGTCTCTTTGCCGTCACAGTTGGGACCCGTCCCATCGAAATCCGGAGGAAGGATTTCAGTACCAAAGTCTCTGAAGTAGCCATCCAGCTCGTCCCCATGAACAAAAACCTAGAAAAACCGGTTCGAATTTCTCAGTGCACATAAGATGGGCTGAGGAAGTGTGATTCTTATGTATAGAATTAAATGGTTTAGTGAGTGTGCGTTTCTAGGTGTGCAAGACTTCATGCATCTTTTGTTCTCCTTTTGAACCCATTTGCCAGAATAGTGAACCTCTTGTTCAACCCTTTTTTCCCCACATCCAATTGAATTCCTCTCTTTCCCCTTCACTCCACTCACCCTCTCCAGCAGTTTGCTCTTCATGAAGGGTTTCACCACGTTATAGGTTGTTGTGAAGTACCAGGGCTGGTGGATCACATGCACCGCCTTGAATCGGGCCGGGAAAGAGTCCTGGATCGTACAGACCGCACAAGCTTTAAGTTTATGTGATCCAGTGCTAAATGATAAATGAGGTTGTGGACTGAAGGCGATATAAGGTGTTTACCTGCAGCATGTCCACCATCTTCTTCAGCTCGGTGTGTTTGATGCCGGATGCGTGCTGCATCGTGAAGCCCTTGAAGTTCTCAATGAGGGCAAAGCCGTTGATTTGAGTCTCTTCGTTTTCTAGAAGTTTCTCAAGGATTACGCAGTAGGCACGCAGAGTCTGTGAAAAGACACATTTGTGTTTGAGACGGGGTTATTATCGTTAACTACAAATAAAACCATTAAAAAGTTACATATAATTTTTTTTTGGTTACTTATATAAAAAAAACTTATATAGCCTATAAAATAAATATTAACTGAAAATAAAATATTATTGTAATGTTTTCTTTCAGTTTCAGCTAGTTGCCAAGGCATACTTTCTCATTTTTAGTTTAACTTGAAATACTAAAATAACTAAAACTGAAAAAAAAATAAAATAAAAGTAATAATAAAATAAGAGCTATATAGACTTAAAACAACAACAACAACAAAAACACACCAAAATTACTAAAACTAACTAAAATGAAACAAAATAAAATGTCAAAATATTAATACAACTATAGTATATCAATGAGAACGCCATTGTAAAGAAACGCATTTCTGTTTGTTTTTTAGCTCCACACAATGGTTCTTTTTAGAAAATGAAATTTCATTTTCAGCAATTAATCTGTTGTATCATGTTGGATCTTTTTATTAGCTCTGTTAGTAAGTTTAGCCATTACAATCTGAAATCTGAAAATCATTAAATTGATTAAATGCAATAATGAACTCTGCAATGACCTCCAGATATTCTTTTGCCCTGTATAAAAGTACAATACCTTTTGCCCTGTATAAATAAATATGCAGGGTGACTTCAAGTAAACTGGGTCACTTCTTGTCACTCATGTCACTTGCACAAAGTGGTGAATTCACTTCTTCATAATATGAAAAGTGAACAATGACTTTTCAGACAAGCCGAAATGTCATAAAATCATATGCAAATAATTTAAATGTTTATTGATTAGTACACTTTCAACATTTTAGCTATTATTTAATCATGTCCATTAAAAAAGGATAGATAGATAGATACAGGTGCATCTCAATAAATTAGAATGAAATTCACGGTCATTTTTTAGATAGATAGATAGATTATTAATA